GCAGCCCAACACGGAATCCACTGGGCCACGGGGGCTTTGTCTGTTAGCCATTCTCCAAAAAACCCACAACTCACTGCCACGGGCTTACTGCCGATTTACAGCGACCCAGAAACCCCGCCTTTCTCCCGCGGAGAGGCTGGTGGTTTCGAACTGCCGACCTTGGGGCTCGCAGCCCAACGCGTAACCACTACACCTGGGAAGCGCTACGGGGCAGACCGCGGCCGGGTGGGGGCGTGGGAGTGGGGAGCACGTCGGATTGGGGACCTGTATCAGGCCAGGATTCCGAAAAGAAAACCTCAATACCCAGAGTCGCTCAGATGCGCGGAATGCTCCCTGGGAACCTGAGCAAAAAGGGGTGCGTGTCCCATGGTGGCCGTCCGGGGGGTGGGGTAGGGGCTCACCATTCTCAGGCCTCGGTGGGCTCAGCAGAGGGGCTGTCATTTAGCCACCTTCCAAGTGCTGAAAGCCGCGGGGCCCCCCAATCCCGCCCGGGAGGCGTCCAGCGCGGGGAGGCCGGTGGACCACAGCCCAGGGGGACCCGGACCGCTAGCCATCCGGGCTGCAGGAGGGGGGGGAAAATGGCCCTCAGCAGGGGTCGCGGGACCGCTTCTCAGCGCCCACCCGCCCCGCCCCAAGGGTGCCTGGCCAGGGCACCCCCTGCCTGCCAAACCCTAGGTGCGCCCTAGCCCGCGCTCCGCGTTGGATCTGACCTCGGCGCCAAGCGTTTAAACTGCTAAGCCTGGAACGATAGGATCGGATTTGTATTTTTAGATCAGCCAGTCTGTGTGAAAGAGCGGGGCTTATCGATCCGCCCCTCCCGTCCCCTCCGGCAGACCCACCGCATCAGGCCCCCCTGCCGCTGCTGTCTCTCTTTCTCCTCTCTCTCTCTCTCTCTCCTCTCTCTTCTCTCTCTCTCTCCTCTCTCTTCTCTCTCTCTCTCTCTCCTCCCTCCTCCCACTTCTTTCCTCCCTCTTCTCTCCTCTCTCTCTCTCCCCTCCCTCCTCTCTCTCTCTCTCTCCCCTTTCTCTCTCTCTCTCTCACTGTCTTTCTCTCTCACACACACAAACACTCCACAGGCAAGCAGCCCTGCCTCCAGGGTCGCTATTATCGCACCAACTTGAGAATTCTTTCAAGGGGCGCAGGAACCGTGAAGAGCAGTCTGATGAAGGGCCTCACCAGTCAATTCATTGATGGTTTTCGGCAATAGCTTAAGCCTGGCCCACTGCCGAAATGTCCCCCTTTGTCGCTTCCCGGGGTCCCCTCCGTTTGCCAAGCCTTGCTCTTGGGAAAGGTTCTGTTTCAGCCCTAGGGTTCCTGCCAGAGATGCAACCTGCAGTGCCATTTGTGGCCGATGGGGACAGAAAGGGACGTCCCTTTAGGACTGCGTTCCGAGCACTGTGCGGACCATAGGAGAGAGACCGGTCCTTACACAGTCCCCGCCATCTCCCAAGAAGTGGGCTTCGGAAGGAACTTGTGCGACTTCGTAGCACACACGAGTGGAGATAGCATTCATTTGGATGGGACATTTCTCACCATCCGAGGGTGCTGACACTCACCTATAAGAAACATGCTGAGCGTCTGGGGTCTGGAAGGGTTGAAGGTAAGCAAGTGGCCATCTAGCTGAGAAGGAACAAAGCCCACATGGAGGAAGCAAACCAGCCTGTGTGATCACCAGGTGTCGAAGAGATCAGGTACCAGGCATCAAAGACCCAGAACAAAAACGCATATCATTGTGAATGAGGGGGATTGCAGAGTGGAGACCCAAAGCCCATCTGTAGGCAACTGGACATCACCCTACAGAGGGGACTCAGGGAGGAGACAAGGCAGTCAGAGTGCAGGGTAGCAACAATGAAGCATACAACTTTTCTCTAGTTCTTTAATGCTTCCTCCCCGCCCCCCACTATCATGATTCCAATTCTGCCTTACAAATCTGGCTAGACCAGAGGATGTACACTGGTACAGATAGGAACTTGAAACACAGGGAATCCAGGACAGACGATCCCTTCAGGACCAGTGCTGAGAGTGTTGATACGGGGAGGGTGGAGGGTAGAGGGAAGGTGGGGTGGAAAGGGACAACTGATTACAAGGATCTACATATAACCTCCTCCCTGGGGGATGGACAACAGAAGGGAGATGTCAGACGGTATAAAATATGACAAAATAATAATAATTTATAAATTATCAAGGGTTCGTGAGGGAGGGGGGGAAATGAGGAGCTGATACCAAGGGCTCAAGCAGAAAGCAAGTGTTTTGAGAATGATGATGGCAACAAATATACAAATGTGCCTGACACAATGGATGGATGTATGGATTGTGATCAGAGTTGTACGAGCCCCTAATAAAATGGTTAAATAAAAATTTTTAAATGATTTATAAAAAAAAAGAAAATGATGATGGCAGCAAATGTACAAATGGGCTTGACACAATGGATGGGTGGATGGTGCTAAGAGTTGAACAAGCCCCCAATAAGATGATAAAATTTTTTTTAATTTTAAAAAAGAAAGAAACACTCTGAGCACAGATCAGTGTCCACAGGCGTAGACACCAATGTGCAGCAGACTCTGCCCCCAGGCTGAAATCATCTGTAGACCAGGTCAAAACTCCCTGCCGGTGAGGCAGCACTGAGTCACAGGGGCCCCTGGGGTCCCGGAGACTGAAGAGCTGGTGGCCGTTCAAGCTGCTGAACTTTCGGCTCACAGCCCGCCTCATAGCCCTGCACCACCAGGGCACGTAGATGATGGCATCCGGGACCGTCCCAGAAGATGGGCAACGGTGCGAGCTTGGTGAATCAGTCGCTTACTTTTCAAATGGATATTTCAGCAGTTTTCTTGACACACAAGTCACGTACGGTACGATTCAATGGTTTTGTATATCGAAGAGTTGTGCAATTCTCACCACAATCCAGTTTAGAACATTGTCTTCATTCTTTTTTTCGTACAAGTAGCTCCCCATTCCCTGCCGCCCCAACCTCCCCTGACATAACCCTAAGAACTTATTCATCTAGTTACTCTCTAGACTTCACAGAAAGTCATAAAATAAAATTTAAAACAAACAATAACAAAATAAAACACAGAAAACCCCCAATCCAAGAGAAAGCAAAAAGAATCATGTGAAATGTTAACCGAATGTTATCTGCAGTAATCCACGTTCCGGTGCACCCTGTCTGAGGGCCGGGCTATTCCCATCCTTGGTCAATGGTCCAAGGGAATCCAGGGGAAGCTTCATCCACAGAGGGACTCCGCAGGGGGTTTTAGGCGTCCACTGTCATCCATAGCCTTCTGAGAACTGGATTTAATGAAACTGGGTGCTCAGAATCTAAGCTCTAACACAATTCCCTCCTCTGATCTTGGGCTAATACCCATGATAAACGGGGTGCAGGGGCGGGGACAGGAACGAAGTTGTCAAGGATTTAATTTTATTTCGCTCCTCAGTCAACACCCCCAGAAGCAGCAGTCAAAAAATAAAACGACGTATTGCATTGGGAAAATTTGCACAAGACCTCTTTAAAGCGTTCAACAACTAAATGGTCACTTTAAAAAGTAAAGCACACCTGACCCAAGTCCTGGTATTTTCAGTCGCCTCTTATGCATATAGAAGCGGGACAATTAATAAGAAAGATGGCAGAATTGATTGATTTGAATTATGGCATTGGCAAAGAAAACATTCCGTAGACTGTCAGGGAAAGAGAGAGAGAGAGAGAGAGAGAGAGAGAGAGAGAGAGAGAGAGAGAGAAACAAACCTGTATTGGATAAAATACAGCCAGAATGCTCCTTAGAAGTGAAGATGAGACTCGGGTCCTTAGCAGGTGCCTGTCCCTGGAGAGGGATAGTGTACTTGGTAGAGTAAGCCCATTGCCCCAGAGTCAGGGGAGACTTGTAGGTGCCCTTGTGAGTTTCCGAGACTAACTGTTTACAGGAGTAGAAAGCCCCATCCTCTTTCTCCCAAAGAGCTGATGAGGGTTTGGAACTGCCCACTTGCGGATGACCAGTCCAAAGAGTAACCACTATGCCGCCAGGGCTTCTCCAGGGAAGGAGAGGCCGACAACACCACAAGAAGAAGTCTCAACAAGATGGATCGACACCGTGGCTGCAAGTAGGGGCTCGAAGGAGCATGGTGGCGCCCCGGCAGTATTGTGTGAGTAAGAACTGGATTCGACAGCCCCGCTGACAGCAAAGGACTCAAGAACACACACTGGGCTAAGCAGGGCAAGGCTGCTGCTTCAAGTCCATCCAGAAGAGCCTCCAAAGAAAGGCTTGGTGATCTACTTTGGGGGGGAAACGAAACAGTGACTGAAAATCTTAGGGAGCACGGTCTTACTTTGGGTCCCCCCGGAGTTGGGATCGTCTTGAGGACAACTGCTTTGGCTTGACTTTTCACTCAGAACTCACCCCCAGGAGCTGGGGCAATTCCACACCGCTGACATCCAAGTGGGGGTGATGTATGTTGGAGAGGCACCCCTCGGTTTCCAACCAGCAAACCTCACATCTTTCCACTGATTTCCCCAGTGTCATTGTTATCCAGCGCCGCTATAACAAACGCCACAGGGGGCGGAGCTGATCAACAAAAATGTATTGTTTTCAGTATTGGTGCTGTTGGTAGGTGTTGTCAAGACTTTTTTTTTTAAGTCAAGATAAAATGTTGCCGGAGCTGTGGGTGTAAAACTAAGTCGGATTTGCAGGTTGGACACGGCTCAGGTCTAGATCCCTGAAACTCAGGTCTCCGCTCTGCCCCCTAGTGGTGCCCCCGGCTCGACCACGATTTCCGGAAACTGGAGGGTGATGACGCTAACTATATTTACATATCCACAATGCATTGCACAGAGGCCAAAGTTTCCACTTTAAAACAATTAAAGTCTCCGCTCTTTGTGACCCCAAGATGAGAATACGCTCACAGAACTATAAAATCAAAAGGGAGATGTCGCCGGTTCTTGAACTACAGAGTCACCATTAGTGTGTTAGGTGTATCAGTTACTCCAGTGATGAGCCGACCAACTACCCTTCATACTCTGGTTTCTCTTCAGATCGTATAAATCTTTCGCCTTTTACTAAAGATTTCCGTGGAGAGAAACAACTCTGAGTCATTAACCAATTTTTTGAGACCTTGCTTGCGCAAGGTTGATCTCGGTGTTATAAAGACAGACTAAAAAGCTTTAAGTCTTACGTTTTTCTGCGTATTCCCCAAAAGTGCTACTTACTTGGTGCGGATTTAAGACTTTGAGTACCTGCTGCATAGGGCCTACCGTAGTTAAAATACACTGTTTTTACTTTGTTCTTCACACAATGTGCTATTTTCACGGTTTGCGTTAGTGCACCCTGCTTTAAAAATTAGATGTCAAAAAAAAAAAAAAATTAGATGTCTGCTTTTCAATTACTGTGATAGAGTAACCCGAAGATTAGTTTTACTCTCTTCTGAGGTTGATCTAAAGTTGATGTGGGATGCTTGTATTACTCCTTCATATGTTTTAAGTATTGTATTGTGGTATGTAAATTACTTGCCAATAAAGCTGTTTAGAAAAAAAGAAAGCTGGAATTTCAGGCACTACATACGTGAAAAGGGTCCCTGGAGCTCCTGAATCCACCCATACTGCCTTGTTTCTCGGAAAATAAGACAAACCCCGAAAATAAGACCTACTTACAGTATGGCCTCTTGCTGAGATATAAGGCATCCCCCGAAAATAAGCCCCCCCAAAGCTACCATAGCCTCACTCCCCCTAAGCCCTTCCACATCCGGCTCCAGCCTGGAGGCGTCCCTCCCACCTGACTGTCTCCCCAGCCAGAAAAATATTTTAAAGCCCTTTTCCCACCTACCCGCACCCCTCACCTCCCCACCCCCAACACACATACACACACCGTGGGAGCTAGCACGCTCCCAATGGATACACAGAGACCCTCCCATCTGGATATTTGCGTTTGAACTCAGGCAGGCGGACTTGGGACACAGGACAGTCCCCTGAAGGCAGCTCGGTGTCATCTGTCCCATGGGCCTGACCCTCCGAGACACGGAAACACTCCCCGTGCCACCGCACCGGACACCCACCCGCCACCCATCTGTCTGCAGGGAGAGAGGGAGAAGCCAGGTTGAGCCACGCGCTCACGGACAGCGCTCCGGGCGGCCTGGAGCAGCCTGTGTGTGTGTGGCTGTCCCTAAGTTTAGGGACACGGTGGTGAGTGCAGGCGGGCGCCAAGGGTTCTGGGAGGGGGCGCCTCGGTGGGCGGGGAGCATGCTCGCGGCTTCGCCGCCCCTCCCCCCCGCACCCTGGAAGTGGCTGGGGAACTGCAGGGTACGCTCCACGAGAAAAGGCGGACTCCAAGGTCGCTATAAAAAGGAGCCAAAAGAACAGATGTGCTCTGCTGCAGTCTGTATGTTTCCTGCTCCATTTATCACGCACGCCTCGCAATGGGGACTCACTTTCACGTTTTCCTCACTCACTTCCTCCCTCCAGCGGGAATGGCTTAAAATAACAACCGCCACTCAAGGTCAGCCTCGCCGCCAGGCGCCAGGCCGAGGAGCCTGCTGCTCCAGGATCGGGGACTGGGTCCAGAGGAGCCTCCCTCGGTGAGCCCTCCCCGCGACCCTCCAGTCAGCCCTGCATCCAGAACTGGACGGAGGGAGAGGCCTGGCTGCCCCCTCCCACTGGAGGAGCCAGGATGGCATGGAGACTTCCCCGGGACGAGATGGAAAAGCACCTGGCCAGGGACAGGACCTGCTCTGCCCGCGCCCGCCCCATGCCACTGTAGAAAGGCCACTCCAGACACATTTTGGACTCTGTGTGGCCGTGGACAGGTGGCTTCGGCTCTCTGGGTCTCAGACTCCTCATCTGTGCGAGGGTCTGTGCCAGAACCTCTCCACCTTCAGTCCCACCTCCTCCGACGCTCTCCCTTCCACTTTCCCCTTACTGTCAGCTTGATGAAAGAATGAAGGGTGGAGTCTAGCCTGTCAATCAGCTCACAGCCTGATGATCCCTCCTTGTGGGTGTGGCCTTCTCATGAGGATTCCAGGAACTCTCTCTCTCTCTTTCTCTTTCTCTCTCCCCCTCCCTCTCCCCCCCCCCCCCTCTCTCAAGCCTCGTGGAGCCACACTGATGGCAGCAGGCTTGAGATGCTTCCACTGCCACTGGATCCACAGGACTTTTCACCCACCCACCTGTGATCTTCCTGCAGTCAGCATCTTTTCCCGGGCTGCTTGAGGCTGAAGAGGAATTCATGAGCTAATCTCGGACTTATGGACTTGATCTGGATTGGGCTGGGATGTTTTATTGATGCATAATTACTAGTCAGCCTGGACTAACACAAAGCCTAATCCTATTAGACAGGACACTGGCTGCTGTTGCTGGCTGTCAGTGGACATCAGTGGTAACCCACACACACAATGAAATAAACACTGCCAGCGCCTGCACCCCATCCCCACAGTGACCCATAGGGTCTTCATTGGCTAGTGCAGCACTGGACCGACCACCAAATGTGCTTCCTACGGCTTTAGTTGGCATCCTGCTGGTAGCATCCTGCTGTTCTTCCAGCGTCCTGACTCAGCCCTTCACAGTCTGGTCTTGACCCTGCTGCCAGCCCGTTCCTCCTCTGTGCTGATCACACACACACACACACACACACACACACAAACACACACAAAGGCCCCCCCCCCCCATCTGCTGTGCATTGTCTCAACTCCTGTTGGACAGACATGCAGGCATCACCGCTTTCCCCTCCAACCAGTCCCACTCCCCGGCACAGCCATTGTGCAATTCCTCCAGTATCACATCCCTCCGTCTCCCGACTCCACGGCCTTTGTGTAGTTTCTTCTTTTTCCCTTCCCACTCCCATCACTCCAACCCGATCCCCAAATATTGATGGAATTGGCCCCGGGGCAGCAAGTTTGGCTTTTGTTGTGGTGATGGTGGTTTGAATTGTATCTCCCCATCCAACTATGTGTTGTAAACCCTAACGTCTCCGTTCTTGGGTGGATCTTGAGTCAAACTCCTGCGTGATGAAAAGATTAAACGAGTGAGCAGAGCAGAGATAGACGGGCAAGATAGATGCCAGGCTACATGGAGAGCACCAAGGAGAAGCCACAGAGATCAGGCAGATGCACAGAAACAAGAGGGTTGCTTTTGTCACACCGAGGAAGGAAGGGAAGAGGGAGGGAGGGAGAACACTGGGGAAAGAATTGGGAAGCAGCCAAAGGAGCAGGTGCCCTGTCTGTGCCCACCTGCCCATCATCAGCTGACCAGCTCAACAAGAACCGCCTTTGAGATCATCCTCACTCAAAACCCAAAACCTCATAGCCGCCAAGTCTGTCCCCACCCACGTGTGTCAGAGCAGAACTGTCTGGACAGCGTGGCTTCACGTGACTTGTCAACAGGAAGGTGAAGCAGAGAGAGAGCATGGCCCACCTCCAGAGAGGAAGAGAGGAAGTTCGCACAATCCTCATGAGAAGGTCACGCCTACAAGGCGGCATCATCAGGCTGTGACCTGACTGACAGGCTAGACTCCAACCCTGACTTATCTATCAAGTGGACATGAAATTATGACACTACCACAATCCAGATCACTGGTCACAGATAAATGAGAATTACACTGACGTGAATGACATCATATGCCCTGCTACCTCCAGCCTGAAACTCCTGGGTGGTATTAAGCAAATGGGGTGTTGTGGTCCACCAAGGGGACTGGATAGCTTACCAAGAATGTAAGATGGATGATATCCCTGTGGGGGTGAGGATATGCAAATAAGATATGTGGAATACTAAAAAGGGGATCAGTGTGATCATCATTGTGTTAGACAGGGCTCACTAGAGAAACAAAACCAGGACACTTATGATTTGATAGTTGATAGATAGATAGATAGATAGATAGATAGATAGATAGATAGATAGATAGACAGACAGCATGAAGGAATATAACAGCTAATTAGTCCACACAACAGTACAGAGGGCTCAGTTCCACTCACTTCCATGGAACAGTTAATATACTGGAAGTCCTTCAACTCATGAGGACTGCTGGGTCCAAGGTCAAGGAAGCAGACAGCTGAGTCTTCCTTAGAGGCAGTCCGTCCACAGGCAGCAAACAGCAGGGCGGGTCACCAACAGTCAGCCAGAGGACAAGATCTGGCGGTCCGAAGCTCAAGCGATGTACACACAAGCAGCACAGCGAAGCAGGTCTCGAAGGAACCTCAAGCTCTAGCAACACGATCCACGAGTTGACAGTCCCACGGATAGTTAGCTCACAAGTTGAGCCCTCAAGCTGGTCTGATCATCAGAGAGCAAGAGAGAGAGCAAGAAAGAGAGGGGCAGGGCTTTTGGAGCCATTTATCTCTTTGCCCTCCAATCAAACTGTGACCTTATTAATCCCACATGTTCCTATTAGCCAGGTTGGCACAATAAACCTACCTATCACACCCATACAGCTTAAAATGAGCCTTCTGAGAAGCAGAAAGAAGAGGACCGCAGGACCACGAAGAAGAGACAGGAAGGAGCCTTTGGACCCAGGATTCCTTTGACCCAACAGAAAGAATTGAAGAGAGGGTCAGAGCCAGAAGCTGCAGCTGACCCAGGAAACCAGCAAGAGGCGGTGGGCCCCAAGTGGGCCTAAAGTGGGCACATGCGCACCCACGCAGAGGACAGAGACCTTCACCCTCCACCTGCCAGTGACCAGGAGCAAGGTAAGAGGGCACCACACCTGCCCACAGCCAGGCTATTTCAAACCTCTGGCTGGGGAGGCGTGGTTGATAGTTTTGGTTGACCCCATTGGCTGAGTTTAGGCCCACCTGTGTGATGTCATGAGCCTGGGCCTAGTTTGGCACCCGGGTGTACTCCCACCTGGCTGGGGGCTTGAGTATCAGCACACTCCGTTTGGGGTCTTCATAGGTATTCAAAGGTTGCTTGGTGTCTGTCCAACCCCCTTTATGGGGGCCTTTGCAGGCATGGGAGCGACAACCCCCATGTCCCAAAGCTAGCTCCCTAACAGAACTTGGTAGATAATGAAGGTAGCCTCAAGTTAGTGGAAGAAATTATGTTTTAAATAAGTGATATTGAAATAACTGGATTTTATCTCTTGTGGAAAATTAACTAAAGCCACATTTCACATTGTACATATAAGTTTCAAATGGATCAAAGATTTAAAC